GGCAAAAGGAGAAAAGTTAAACCTATTCGGCGTTTTCCTATAGCCCTAAATATAGGTACCGGATGTTCGGTATTTTGAGGATTTAACCCGCATATTTTAACGGATTTATTTAAATTCGATATTGACTTACATTCTCAACAGAATGGTTTCAAATTTGGTATTTGAAATTCGAAAAATTGTCTGTGTAGGTCACGTTTTGGTCTCAGTCACGTTTGCAACACCTCGAAAAATACATTTAAGACCGCGCAAAGTATGCCGATCAAGAATAGCGCTGTCCGCCCGTCTGTCTGTCAGTCCGTTTGTGGAAATCACTCCATTTTAGGAGTGATAAAATTGCACACAGATGTGTTTTAAGTTTGCAGGACTTTTGGTATTGAATGCTATATAGGTCCATATTTAGGTATTTTTAACCGTTTTTTTTATTTTTAAAGTTCTTTCAAAATGGTGGAGGGTATTAAAAGTTTGTGTAGACGTAATTTGCCTGCTTTTTACTGGTCTTTGTAAACGAATCAAAGGTTTGGGCATTGTCCAATTGAGATGCTATTTAGCATAGTTCATTTTTTTTTTGTTCCTAAGACGAACTCTGTTGAGGTAGACAAAATTCGATTGAGATTTGTATATAGCTCCCATATATATCTTTGTCCGATTTCACGCTTACCATATGGGTAATAACAATCAAAATGGGATGGGTTCTGGAACATACGACTCAATTTAGCCTGTAAAACAGACTGTGAAGTTTGGTAAAAATAGGTCTGTCAGACTTAACATTTAAGTCCTACAAGGTCGTAATATGCCTTCCATAACAGTCATTAGAAGGAATTACATATATTCTTGAAATAGATTTTCCAAATTTAGTTTAGATCCGTTTAGATGCACAAACCATGCTACCTTTGTATAATTAGGCTAGATTTGGACCAAATTTCAGGATTGGAGCAAGTCGATTAAGATACATAGCTAAACATACATAGACATAGCTTAATATATGTTACACCCGATTTTTAATTTAAGCCATTTCAAATTTCTAACAAGTTAAATAGAACCAGTCGGTATTGCCAAAAGCTGGCGTTGTTCGGTTATTTAAACATATTTTGACTTGCGTTATTATTATTAAAATTGTTGACCTTTCATAGGAGAGGTTTCGAAAGAATGGACCAATATTGTCCATTTGGTATTTTGCATGGGTCTGATATAAATATTATCCCTTTAAATGAAATATTTGATAATTTTCCGAAAAGCTTGAAATGTGCGTGATGTACCACATATGGTGGACCGAAGTAATCGACTTCATCTAATGCTAATAGATTATGGAAACATTTATATCCAATTCTATGCGAATAACTTTTTGGAAAATTTGTATCCTTTACAGGATGAGATAAAAAACCGCAACAAGGTCAAACACTATAATTTTTACATTTTTTTTTTTTTGATGAAAGCAAGAAATTTCGGAAATAGCATCAAATTTTAGAATAAGTTTAGATTTTTTCGAATTGGTCACGTTTGGCACAAAATAATGTCCTTCAAACGGCCAAAGAAACCGTCACACGCTGCCCGAATGTTGCTCTGCGGTATTTTGGCCCATTCCCGGCGAAGCGCTTGCTTCAGTTGATCGACACTTTGGTATTTTTTAGTGCCAACCTCACTTTCCAAAATACTCCAGACACGATGGTCCAACGAATTGGTATGCGAAGATTTTGGTGGCCATTGTGCGCTGGAAATGAATCGAACGAATGGTTTCTCATCAGAGAAAACCATATTTGGCAGTTCACCACTTTCGGGCAAGCGAAGCATCTCGTTACCTCTTTTGAGTCTATTTTCTTTCTGTTGCGGTGTAAGTACTTGCAATTTTTGGAATTGCAATGTCTTTACCCCTAGCTCATTTTTCAATATTTGCCGAATGGGATATTGCGATATATTCAGCTTTGGCGAGGTGCCAAAAGTAGTGATCCGATATTTGCCTTATTCATAACAGATCTTGTGTCAATGAAAATATTAGGATGTGTCAAAAGCATCGAAAACCCTATTTTTTCGATATCTTAATGTTATACATACCTCATTATATCGTTATTAAAAGTTGTTCTTTTTATTTTTTTTTTCGATAAAACTTCTTTTTCTTCTGTTAAATGCGTGTCAAATAATGCAAAAATTTGTGCGAGTACAGCGTAATGCCACCGAATCACTGTTTTACAACCATTCCGGGCACTTAATCTAGATTCAGTGTCATTTTTTGCCATGGTTTTCGTTATTCATGCTCATGCATATTCATGTTCCGTTAACGTGAACGTTACCATGATGAGTCATGTGGCCTGAGAGAGAGCATCATGGCGGAAAATAATGTTTTTTTTTGCATCTTTTATTTACAATATAAATTTCACATCGCATCAGTTTCAGCAACTGCTACCACCAACACCATCAACTTTATTGTCACTGGCAATGCTATTCCTTTGGAACACCTATCTGCCATTTCTGACGAATGCACATGACAATGTAGGTATGTAACATTCTGTCATTGATACCTTGGTAACGGTTGTTGCAACTCCCCAGGGATGTCTGGGATGACCAAACAATAACAAATTTACCAAAGCACCGAGAGTACCCCCACCAATATCAACAGTTGTTAGCAGATGTAGTTTCTATAGTCTGCGTGTATTCGGATGCTGTACGGAGGTGCGGACCAATCATTAGTTTTCATTTGATAGACAGAAAAGAAAAATAACATATGCAATGAAGTTCACGGTGTCCAATGAAGCAAAAACAAATTGCGCTAGCAGAGTTAAGCCTGTCAAAAAGAAAAAAAAAAAAGGAAGGAAAGGACAACAGTTGGACAGGACCGATGATACTCTTTACCACATTTATATTGACAGTTTGTGTTAAGTAAATCATACTAACAATGATAGTTATTAAATTGGTATTACGGCTGTTGAGTTGTTGAATTTTAAAATCGGATGTAATTAATATAAGTGAACTATATTTTACTCTGAACCGATTTCCATTAAATTTGACAGAGGTATATTTTTCATCTGTATGTAACCTCCCGCAAAAATATCATTGCTATAGAGCGAGTATTTTTAATTTGAGAAATCTTAAATTTAAAATCGAATAGAGCTAAAGCTATATATGAAACGATGGTACAATAATAACAAGGTAGGGCAGAGTGATTAAATTTGAAAAACACAACCCTGAAGCTATAACTTCAAATTTATCAATAAAAAATGCAACAGGTTTCTTATTGTTTTGACACTTTTCTCACAATATTCTAATTCAAGTAAAAATTGTGGACAACGATTGGAACGCTGGGAATTTTTCACAACCTCGAGTTTTTAATATGTACTCCACTCCTTTTAATTCCAAGCGGAATCATTTGCTCCTCCCAAAAACTGTAATACGAATTTAAATTTCAACAGAATTTTAATTGTTATACCCACCACCATACATAGTATGGACGGTATATAAGGTTAGTCATTCCGTTTGTAACACCTCGAAATATACATTTGAGACCGCACAAAGTATATATATTCAGCATAAAATTCTATGTTGATATAACGATGTCCGTCCATCTGTCTGTGGAAATCACTCTTGAAAATTGGGCCATGTATGCCCATACTTTAGTATAGCCCCCATATAATGGTACCTACCTATTTTCAGTATATTGGTGATTTAAGCGACATTATTCATTGGAAATGTTTCAAATTTGGCCTAAGACAGAAAATTGTCTGTTCAGATCCACGTGTTGGTATAGTCCCCAATATAATGGTACCTCCCTATATTCGGTATTTTCATTCTTTTTAGCGACATCATTCACCGGAATTGTTTCAAATTTTGGTATTTAAAGTTCGTAATGGATACTGCAGCCTACGATAGAAAATTGTCTGTGCATAACGCCATACAACGGAACCTCCCGATATTCGGCATTTTGATGTTTTTAAAGACGTTATCAACCGGAATTGTTTTAAATTTGGTATTTGAAGTTCGTAATGGGCATTACAGCCTATTAGAAAAAATAGTCTGTGCAAGTCTACGTGTTCGTATAGCCCCCATATAATGGTACCTCCCTATTTGCGGGATTTTGGTGATTTAAGCGACATTATTCACCGGAAATGTTTAAATTTGGTATTTGAAGTTCGTAATGACTTACAGCCTAATACAGAAAATAGTCTGTGTTCGTATAGCCCCCATATAACGGCACCTCTCCATATTCGATATTTTGATGATTTAAGTGACATTATGCACCGATTTTTTTTTTCAAGTTTCGCATTTTAATATTGTAATGGCTTATGACAAAAGCTGCCTGTGCAGGTCCATGTTGTCGTATAGATCCCAATATAATGGCTTAATTCGGTAGTTTTAAGATTTCAACAGAATATTTAACGGATTTTATTTTTTTCTTGAAAATTGCCAAATTCGTTGCAAAGGGTTGAGGGTATTCAAAGTTCGTCCCGGCCGAACCTACATCTTTTTACTTGTTTTTTTATTTGTTAACTTGGAGATTAATAGAGATTTTATGCTCATAGAGGTAGTGCAAAGTTTGAAGAAAATTTTTTCATTTGGTATTTTTAAAGGAGTTTTTATACGGAAGCAGTGAAATGATTGACAATTTTCGCATCTAACCGAGTAGTGATAAGAATATAACGATCTGCCAAATTTGATCGTGGTCGAATACTTTCTGCAATATTCATAATTTGTCAAAACGGAAGGAGTGAACCGATTTTACCCATCTTCGTTGAATTTATTCCGAAGAAAATTAAAAACTCAAAAAGACTATTAAAGCCAAATATGAGGGAAAATCTAAACTTTAACACTACTGCTGCAGTGACATTTTATTGGGGCTATTGCCAAGCATTGCCACTGTAAATCATTTTAACTTTAATTTCAATTATATTTATAGCCTTCACCATATTATGGAGTATATATTACGTTTGACATTCCCTTTGTACGCATTACATTTTACATACTTCAAGTAATTACATTCTTCTTTTTCCGAAATGGTCGGATTATATATTTACCTCAGTTGGGAAAAATCCCAGATATGCTGTACAACCTCCAGCTAGAAGAACATCACCAACAATATTGCTTATGGAATGATGTAGATTGTGTGCGGTCTCGGACCAACGTGTTTTTTCTCCACCCAAACCACCAAGTAATTTTTCGGCTCTGTAAATATTGAGTTCTATAAAATTTGCAACTGAAAGATAGCCAATTATTACTTACCTGTTTAGTTTCTTTTCACAATTGTCGATTTCGTCTTCAAGCCCCTTTTTCTGTCTCGACTTTTCGGCAAAATAATCATTGAGTTTTTGTAATTTATCTAGAATGACTTGTAGTTCGGCACGCTTTGCATTAAGCTTTTCCATTTGTGAAGCCAATTCATTTTCGGCCTCGGCCAATGCAGCTTTTTTAGGCATGACAATTCGGGCCACTTTGTCATAGACATCCATTGCGCGAACCCAGTGACAAATGCCTTCACAGGCTGTTGAGGCCGATTTGATTTTGTCCGGAACAAAATCTCGATCAGCTACGTATCTATAAATGATTTAATGGATCAGAACGTGTTAAGAACAATTTTATAACTATTTGTCAGACTTGTTTTATTTTAGGCTGCTATATTGGTCTTTGGTACAATTTCTTAAATGTTAAATATATAATTATTTAATTTTGTGTATAACCTGTACCATTTTTAATATGTAATTTTTAATTGTTAACGTAAATTACTTAGATTTAGTTTTGAGAATAGTGCCTTTCCGCCTTTTAGAAAACTCAACAGATAACATTTGTCACAATACCTTACAACTATACTTATTAATTTGTAGTACAGCGTTATATGCGTATATATTGGGGCATACAAGTGACCGTGCTAAATGGCCACAAGGCAAAGGAAATTATATAAAAGGGTGTTTTCAAGCAATAATAGTATACGTAAATTAAATTATGCAAAAATTCCAAATTATAATGTGGTGTCCTTTGGAATTGCTATTTTCAAATCTCAAAAAGCACTGTCAAATATTGAGATTCTTATTTTTTCTTAGAATCCGCTTTTCCCTCCTAATATATATCCTCTGCAACCTTATGATCAGTAATTGAACTCAAAACACACCACACCACTGCTGCAGAAACAAAGAGGTGTTAAAAGTCTTACATCTACATCATCAACTCATTGACTTTTATTAGTTTTTATACCTTGCGACACCATGTGTTGGGATGTATATATAGCTAAATAAATACAATGTATATGTTCAAACGAAGACAGCCAAATATTGTAGACAAGCAAATCGTATAGATGAGTCTAAATTTGGAGATATAGGGAGGCTACTTGCTGATGATCCCAAAATATTTAGGGGTTCAAATGAACCAAAACCAGAAAAAAATTTCCTGATCACACAATTGACGCCAATCGACACGCCTGAGAAGAGAGTTAAGGACAGGGAAGAGTTCTATCATTTTGGATGACCATTGGATTATATTTAGCTTTCAAATGGACTACAAGAACTAACAGCACGACGGAGTGCGTAAATATTGGGCAAATGGGCAAACGTCTCTGGTCAAAATGCTAAGGGTAATATCTGGGCAGTGCTCCGTGGCAGCCCGATGCTAATTTCAAAAGCGAAATCTTTTAAAATTAATTTGGACATAAGGGGGCTTTCAATATATTGAAGTATTGTAAGGTATCACATGGTCGGCCCGCACGACTATAGCTTTTGCTTACTTGTTTGTTCTAGGTATTCAGACGTCAAGTCTAGAACTTACAACATACAATTTCGACCGCACAATGTACAGGGTGTAATTTTTAAGCCACTCGTCCGACAGATGTTAAAATTATTTCAGTGACAGCTCATTATATTGTTTTCAAGCGTACAAAAGCATTTTTGTGAGAATTTTCCAGAAAAAAAAGTTATTCATGATGGAATTCAGGCGTCTGATTTCTTTATATTTGGCTGCAAAACAACAACTGGCTATCGTTAGAACACTCCAGCATTTAAATGTGAATAAATCGTTTGTGTCCCGTACCATTGCTCGTAACCGTGATACTGGTAGTGTAGCCCGACGTCAAGGAAGTGGACGGAAGAAAACAGCAACATCAGCAGAAATACTTCGAACAGTAAATGAGCCGAGAATCCCGCGTCTCAGCGGCCGAAAAATGGCTCGTGAGCTGAACATATCGCAATATTCCATTCGTCAAATATTGAAAAATGAGCTCGGGATAAAGCCATTTAAGTTCCAAAAAGTGCAAGAACTTATAATAGCCGAATTTGGTTTTCTCAGATAAGAAAATATACGTTGTCCACCCGTTTGTAAACAAACAAAATGATCGTGTTTACTTGCCATAGAGATCAGCTAAAAATGTGCACCTTCGGTTGGCCACCAAAACTCAAGCGCCGGCCATGGTGATAGTGTGGCCGCCATAACAGCCGATTGTCGCTCTCCGCTCGTATTATTCATATTAATCAGAATAAATGCCGAATATTATCGCGAAAATATTCTGGAGGGTGTATTAAAGCCTTGGGCAAGCCAAAATGTTGGCCGTAGAACTTGGACATTCCAACAGGGCTCAGCACTATCGCACTCAGCACGCACCACCCTTGAATCGTTACAAAATGAGGTTCTCGCTTCATTTTCAACACACAATGACCACCAAAATCTCCGAATACCAATCAATTGGGTCATTGTGTCTGGAGTATTTTTGAAAGCAATGTTGGCACTAAAAAATACAAAAGTGTCGATAGCGCTAGCGCTTCGCCGGGAACGGGCCAAAATACCGCAAAGCAACATTCGGGCAACGTGTGACTGTTTCATTAGCCATTTGAAGGTCATAATTCGCGCCAAAGGGGACCAAATCTAAACTTATTCTAAAATTTGATGCTATTTCTGACATTTTTTGCCTTCATTCAATAAAATTAAAAAAAAAAAATAATAATAATAAATATAGCATTTGGCTTTGTTGTAGTTGTTTTATCTCACTCTATACTTTGTAGGGTCTATCATGAATATTTCAAGCAGTTGCAAACAGAATGACATTAGCTTTGTCATTCCTCCATAGAATGGTATAAAAATAAGCTATGCTGGGCCACGTCTTCGTATAGCCTCCATATATCGATTTTCCTGTCAAGTTTCATCAAAATGATGGAGGGTATTAAAATTTCGGCCCGGCCGGATGCTTTTCTACGTGTTTTTGATTTTTTTTTTGTTTTTTAATTTTTTGCATTCCATTGAAAATTTGTATCTCTACTCGTTAAATTCAATACCCCATATTTTTGAATAAGATTTTCAAAAACTGATGATTTATGCTAAACTCGAAAAAAGAATAACAAACTTAGCTCATCAAATAGTATATCCTGAATATCTTTATCATTTGATTTTCTTAAAAAAATGTTTGTTATGTTGCGCTTCTCTCTATTCCTTTTTTAGGTGCCCATTTGAACGTACCTGCTCACAATTTTTGTTGTCTTCTGTGCAACCCAATCTATCCCATGTCCATCAAGTATAATATTAATGATTCCTTGAAAAATACTTACTTTTCTCGTATCTTTTTTATTATGGCCGGCGGTATATTATCTTTGTCGAATGTTTTCAGAGATTCCAAAAATTTCATGTCGCTCACCATACGTAATGAGGCAGCCCAATAATCTTCAACCATTCGACCGGAAGCATCGGGTTTTCGATCGGGCTTCAAGCCTTTTAAAACACAGACTGCCTCAAGTACCAACTTCACTCCATAGGGAGGGTTTTTCATTGATTTAACTACGAAAATGTCCGCAGGTTTTAAGGTGTTCAGTGCATCCAAGGCCGCCTCTAATGCAGGTATTGCTTCCGCCAAATCACTTTCGCAGTCATCTTTTATGGCCTGGGCTGCCGCTGCAGCCTCATTCGCAGCGGCCTCATCTGCACCAACAACTTCTTTCTTCTTTTCCGCTTCGGCTGTTTCACGTTCAATATTTACCATAATTTTTTCCGTTTCCTCCGACAAGACTTTTAGCTTCGGTTGCAATTCATACAAATTGGCCTGCATTTCACCCACTTGACCGGCAGCAAAATCTAGCTTTTCCAAACCCGTTGTATACCTAAGGACATGAACGATGGTGTTAAGTGTGTCACGTGCTAGCTTGCTCTGCCAATCTGTTCTTACCTGTCCCTTAATTTAGTTATCTCGTCGAGTTTCCTTATGTAGAATGCCTTAAATGCCTTTAGCATTTCCAAATAGGATGACGGTGTGACATAATTTCGTCTACCCAATTCCGTGTGGCATCTGCAAAATAGTTTTCAATGTTTTAACTGTGCCATCGTCATTTGTAACTGTGTCCGGCGGTGTGGTATGCACGTCCGCCACACCACCAACGACTTACTTTTCGCTTGCATCTATAACAGATTGATTGAAATGCATTACACATTTTACCAATTCTTTTTCCAAATCACTCAGCACAATCTCTTGCACATCCTCCAAACTCTTTTTGCTCTCCTTCGAATCGATTGATTCAACTGACTTATTGGCTTCCGCTTCATCTGTATCGTGCGACTGACCCAATTCCATGGAACTAATAAAATATTCCGCAACACGTTCCAAAGCGTCTACCGGCCATGGCATGTACCTTGTTTTAGATGCAATTTAGTTTTGTTTTAGGAGGGTGACAACATTTATGGATGGCGTCCGCAATGGTGCAAAAATTCGGCAAAAACAAAAAAGTTGAATTAAATAAAGGAGACATGTAATCGCGAAGAGAGTGTTAAGGAATGACATTATCATTTTCGAGTAGTTTTATTTAATCTTAAGGATTATATGTTTGTAAGCAACGGTGCGGGGTGTTAACACTCCATCCAATAGTGTTTCGATACGAAATAATAGGAATCTTCGACTGCTTTCAATTTACCAACAAATATGTCAAAACCTAATTATTCCTAATAGCATTAATTTCTAATTATAAACAAAATCGAAACATAAAAGAAACAAATTAAACAAATAGTAATTTTGGGATCCTAAGTAAATGAATTAAGTGGAGAAGACGATAGCCATTTTGTATCCTAATACTTTAATTTATGCCACATTTAATCTGATTAGTTGTAACATGTTGCACCAATCTTATTGAATTAACACCGCTTAATTTCCTAGAAATACAAATTATTGTGGGAGGAGTGTTAATGAGATTTTATAACCTACACCACATAGTGGGAAGGATATTATGTCTTTGCGCATTAGTTTGTAACATGGAGAAAGAAGTGATAAAGACCGATAGTAACTTTTGAGGATCTTCATAGAATCACTTTCTGAGTCGATTTATGCATGTCGGTCCGTCCGTCTGCCCATGTATTTTTGTGAACAAAATGCAGGTCGCATTTATTATCCGATTGAGATGAAATTTTCCAAAAATTATTTATTTGGCCCAAGGCCGAACCCTATTGAAATTGGTGAGAATCGGTTCAGATTTGGATATAGCTCTAATATAAATCTTCAAACGATTTCGGGTTAATTGTTCACCAAATGTCCAGTATCAGACCAAATGACTTGAATTTTCGGTACATCCGGCCGAATTCAGGTTACAAGCAAGTACATAAAATCTTTCGAATGAATTGAGACAGAAGGCTAAAATTTTGCACACATGTTTATTTTGCCAGTAGGCAGGTTAAGTTCGTAAATGGGCCATGTAGGTCCACGTTTTGATATAGCCCCCATGTAACGGCACCTCTCGAGATTCTGTATTTTCATGATTTTAGCGACATTATTCACCGGAATTGTTTCATGTTTGGTATTTGAAGTTCGAAATGGATACTACAGCACAAGACAGGAAATTGTCTGTGCAGGCCCCCATATAACGGTACCTCCCAAAATTCGGTATTTTGACGGTTTTAGGTACAATTCTTATCGAAACTGTTTGAGACGTCGTATTTGAAGTTCATAATAAATGGTACAACCTGTGGCAGAAATTTGTCTTTGCAGGTTCACGTCTTCGTATAGCTCCGATATAACAGTACCTATATACCTATATACGGTATTTCGATGATTTTAGCTACATTATTCACCGTTTATTTCAAGTTTCGAATTTGAATATGGTAATGGCTTATGACAAACAATACCTATGTAACTCGGTTCACGTCTTATAGACACCAATATAACATTTAGCAGAAGTTTTTACGGATTTTATTTTTTGAAAATTTTCAAATTCGTTCCAAATGGTGAAGAGTATTCAAAATTCGGACGGGCCGAACTTACTGCTTTTAATTTAATGAAAGCATAAAATTTTGGAAATAGCATCAAATTTTAGAATAAGTTCAAATTTGTCCGAATTGGTCACATTTGGCACGAAGGTCTGCGGCCAAAATGATTGCGTGCCCAAGGCTTTAATACACCCTCCAGAATATTTTCGCGATAATATTCGGCATTTATTCTGACGGAGAGCGACCATCGGTTGTTATGGCGGCCCACACCATCACCATGGCCGGGGCTTAAGTTCTGGCGGCCAACCGAAAGTACACATTTTCAGCTGACCTCTTTGGAAAGTAAACACGATAATTTTGTTTTACGAACTGGTGGACAACGAATGTTTTCTCATCGGAGAAAAAAAAATCGGCAGTTCACCACTTTCGGCCAAGAAGCAACTCTTTAGCTCTTTTGAGTCTATTTTTATACCCTACACCACAAAGTGGTAAGGATATTATGTCTTTGTGCATTTGTTTGTAACAGGCAAAAGGAAATGAGATAGACCCCTAGTCCCTTTCGATGATCTTCATAGAATCACATTCTGAGTCGATTTATGCATGTCCGCCCGTCTGTCCATGTATTTTTGTAAAGTACAGTTCGCATTTATTGCCCTATCCAGATGAAATTTTGCACAAATCATTTGTTTGGCCCAAGGACGACCCCTATTGAAATTGGAGATAATCAGTACAAATTTAGATTTAGCTCCCGTATATATCTTCGTCCGATTTGCATTTTATTGTGCACCAAAAGTGTAATATCAGCCCGAATAGTATGGAGTTTTGCACATAAAACCAAATTAGGCCTGGAAATAAGTATGCCAAATTTGATCGAAATCGGTTCAGATATAGCTATAGCTCCCATATATATTGTTCATCCGATTTGTTATTTTTGTCCTCCGCAACCGTAATATGCACTCTGTAACAACAATATTTGGGGAAATATATCAAATACAGCTCAGAAATACATTTGCTAAATTCCATCCCAAATGGGATGGAATTTGGCACATACGACCGAATTGAGTCTAGAAGCTAGTATGTCAAATTTGGTGAAGATCGGTTCAGATATAGTTACAGCTCCCATATATATTGTTCATCCGATTTGTTATATTTTTTACGCACAGCCGTAATATGCAATCCTTAACAACGATATTCAGGGAAATATATCAAATACATCTCAGAAATATCTTTGCCAAATTTTATCGAGATCGGTTCAGATTTGGATATAGCTCCCATATCCGATTTCAAATTAATTGTGCGCCAAATGGGCAATACAAGTCCGAATTTAAAAGATACAAATGCTTCGGCATATTTAGTCGTTTGAACTTTAAATTATAATTATAATCACAGCGTGTATGATTGAATTCTCCCTTAAAAACTTTTAATTGTTATGTGGAGCTCTACTAAATTAGCAAAGTGGTGTAGGGAATCATAAAGTCAGCCCCCGCCCTGTATAAATTCTTGCAATTTTTGGAATTTGAATGGCTTTACCCCGAGCTCATTTTTCAATATTTGCCGAATGGAATAGTTTGATATGTTCAGCTCACGATCCATTTTTCGGCCACTGCGACGCGGTTTTTTTTTCATCTCACCCTGTAATATGCATGCGACAACAATTATATTTGGTATCAGAAATCTTATAGAGCTAAGAAATACCATTGGCATATAATAACTGCTCTAAGGCCAAATGTTGATATGTGGTTTGAGCTCTACTAAATATGCATAGTGGTGTGGGGTTACATATGGTCGGCCCACCTGACTTTTCCTTACTGGCTTCTGTTTAATTACAGTATCTAAAACTGTATCAGTGCTAATTTCCGAATAAACTTGGACTGCTTTTAGCTGGCCTGGGCAATTTTTATGGGCACATTTTGGTCATACCAAATGATTTGTCTCATGTAAATTTACGTTGAGGGTGTAAACTTCGTTCATTATTTTTGCCATTAAAGATTGCATATTAATTTGCATGTCAATTTAAAGTTTTCAAGGAAATTGTTTCTTTGTTATATAAAATATACGTTCCAGTCGTTATCAGCACCCGTCTATATTTTTGCGTTGTCTTTCAATCACTATGTATAGTTTATAGATATGTATGTAAGTATGCTCATATTCTGTAGATATGTATGTAAATATGCACATATTCTGTAAGTAATGTCGGATTTTATGGTTACAATTTGTTTAACCCAAATAAAAACTTTTCTACAATTTTTAGTCACGTATTTTTCGGTGAGGATTATGTACTTCGAGTATTGTCTTTGAACGCAAGCCAAAAGCCACGGAATTTACACATCACTGATCGATTTAGGAAAAGAACAAACGTATTGTTTAAGATGCAGGCTTATGGAAGTGTATGAATTTATGGAGATAATTTGCATAAAAGGAAAACTCTAAGAAGAAAACTGAATATCCTGCATAGGAAACGATTGATTGATAATATATTCCATGGGGAGTAATGGTTTCCCTGGTTCTAATACATTGTTTTAAATAAAGTTTTAAACATCGATTTTATAATGATTGAATGATCTATAAGTTTTGCCGGTAGCCAATGTTTGATTATTTAAATATATTTTGACTTCTGTTATGATTATTCAAATTGTTGACCCTCTATTGAGTAGATTCCGAAGGAATGGGGGCAATATTGTCCATTTCGTATCCAACGTAAATAAATTTTAAATAAATATAGCGATGTCCAAACCTGGACTACATTGGTTACTTCGTTTACTCTATATGAAATATCTGATAATTTTTAGAAAATTTTAAAACATGCGTGCGGTACCACATATAGTCGACCGAAGTATTCCATTTTCATACTTCATATAATACAAATAAAAATATTGGTATGGACAAAATTACAAGAAAACCAAACATTTTATCCAATTTTATTTATAAATTCCATATTCATCTCAGGCTTCAGCTTGAGAGAAATATTTAGATGTAGTAAGTTGTAAAGAATCGCTGACTTGTTTCGCAAGTTATGACAGATAAAAGTATTGAAAATTGTGACCCTCTGTGGGTGAGGTGCCAGAAGGCGTTTGCAGATATGTATCATTTTCACAACAGATCTTGTGTTAGCAAAAATGTTTATGTGTGTGGAATTTGAAGAGAGTTGGTTGCTTATTTCGCTTTCTTTAAGCGTTTTGTTTTTCAAAATCGTGAACCCTATGTGGGGTACGTGCCAGAAGAAATAGTCCAGTCTCTACCATCTTTAGAACATATCTTGCGTTGTTGGAAATATTGAGATGTACCAAGTCTGAATGGAATCGGATGTTAATTTCGCGTTTTATGAGCTTCATGGATATTAAACATGTTGATCCTTTGTGGGGGAGGTACCAGAAGGAATGGTCCGATCTCTACCATATTTATAACAGATCTTTTGTTAACAAATATTGAGATGTGCCAAGTCTGAATGGAATTAGATGTGACTTTCGCGTTTCATGAGCTGCACGGATATTCAAATTTTAGACCATATGTGGTGGAGGGAAGGAGTAGACCGATATATTTCATATCCATGCCAGATGTTGGGTTAATAAAAATATTGTATTGTGTACAATTTGAAAACAGCCGAACTCTTACATTACATTTAATAAGAGTTATAAATATTCCAAATGTTGGCCGTTTGTGGGGAGGTAGTTGATGAAGTAGACTGATATTGTCCATTTTAACACCTGAGCTAGCACTGATGCAAATATTAGAATTTGCAAAGTTGGCAAAATCCTATTATCATTTCTCTCTGTGTGCAGTAAATATTTTTTTTTTTTAAATTTTGCCAAATTTTATCGAGGTCGCTTCAGATTTTTATATAACTTCGATATACATCTTCATCCGATTTTACGGATATTGCTCACCATATAGATTTGTTCATTTTCAACCGAATTTTGCCATTTGTTGAAACTCAGTTGCTTCAATAAATATTCTTTAATCTTTTGTTATGTCAGCTTTACTAAATACGCATAGTGGTGTAGGGTATCATATAGTCGGTCCCCTCGACTTTTGACATCCTTACTGGTTAAAAAAAATATTCCACGGTTTTTATACCCTCCACATATAGTATGGAGGGTATATTAAGTTTGTCAGGTCTAATTCGAAGATGAGCTGTGTCGATTAGAGTTTTCGGATAGCCCCCGATTTTAGCCATTCTTTAAAATTCGGTATTTAGAGTTAATAATGGATTCTATCTGCTATAGTAGAATATCGTCTATATATATATCAACATATTCGTAAAGTCCCAATATAATTGTACCTCCCGACATTCAGAATTTTGACGATTTTAGACACATTTTCCAACGGAAAATTTTTATATTCGGTATTTTGAGTTAATAAGGGTTTCTTCATGTGGCAGCCTCCTATATAAATGTATTTCATGATATTCGATATTTTGAAGATTTTAATTACATTACCGAATTACTTAAAATTCAGTATTTGCTGGAGGGTATAAAATGTTCGATCCGGTCGAATTTAAATGATTTTTTCTTCTTTTCAAGTAATATTGCTGAAAACACAATATATTTCAAAGAAATCTTAACTTGAATATTTTCAAAAATATTAAATTTGTTTTCCCTGTCCTCCCCCCGAATTAGACATCTAAAACGCCCATAGTCATGTCCCATATTGTAAACTCTACTTTCAAAATCTATTAGGGCTTTCCTGTTTTTTTTTTTTTTTTGAAAATTTTTAACATTCAAAACGCCCATATACAAATCTCGTATTGTAAACTCTACTTTCATAATCTATTGGGGCTTTCCTGTATTTGTTGAACTTAATTGTTTTTTCCTTGTTTTCAAGTAAAATTGTTAAAAACACAATATCAAAGACATAGAAGTATAAAGATGGGACAAGACAGAGTCAAAATATTGTCACCAGGTGTAAATACCTCTGTTGTTACGATATCATAACAACATAATAACCAATGTTAAGTTGTTTCTACAGCAAATGCAATATTCAAACGTCAGTGAAATGCAATTTTTAGTTCAAATTTTTGGTTTACAGAAAATTTTATTCTTAAAATTGCTCTGTAAATATAATTTTTATGCTAACATGTCACTGTTGTGAGCAGCGCCTCTATATATTTTTCACATTAACTATTTTTCCATTATGAATTTTGTCCAGTCTTTACCATTTTAGGTCTTTGACAATATACTTAAAAGAAATTTCAATTTTAATATTTTTATTTTATATTTTAATGGCAAAAACTAATTATTTCCTCCGGCAAGGATAGATTTATGAAATTTGGTGGATACGATTTTCAGACAGAGCTATGACTTTAATCGCAAAGATTATATTAAACGATTGGCGTTGCAATCATTGCCCTACTGTTATAGTTAGCTCTATCAAGTTTTAACATCGTAGATCGTGACGCATGTACACACATCCCTATGGCACTTACCAGTCAATTGTGCAACAGTTTATCAATGATGGATACATCCGAATACGTTCCTTAAATGATTCGCCGATGGGCGAAAAGGCCAGGGCCACGTGCAATTGTTCACGTACACGTTCAATATAGAATGCATTCATTTCACTCGGTATGGGTTCAATATTTTTGGCCTAAATATTTTATTTTCATTTTTAGTTGTGCAACGAAGTTGGAAAATATGCGTAGTCAATGTTGCAGGTAACAACACAAAAATTGTACATTCCATTTTCAAATTGATTGTGCATAATTAGTGTGAGAATTCGCAACATTAGACAGAAGCGGGCCAGTTTTGGATCCGAATTGCATCATACATGTTGACAATGTTTGACATTTGCCAAGTATTGATTTTCATACAGTGTACACATACACATTTGTGGTATTTCCCAGACAAGTTGCCGGAAATAGAGAAAATTGAATTTTAGTTTAGTTACGGTAATTTAATTATTTTACGGAATATGGGGAGGATTAAGCGTTTACTTACCAGTTGTTTTGCTATATTTGTCATGTTTTCCATAATGGTTGCCTTATCCTCCAATTGATAGAGATTAGGTAGGTCACCGCAATTTAGTATACCATTTATATCCTCAATGTATCCTTCATCGGTTGCCTGCAATATCAAGCATCAAAAATTAAACTAAGAATCACAACCCGGCGGAGAAGTTTTTCTCGATTTTTAATCTATTTTAATATCTTGTATTTTGCCTTCAAAATATTGACTTTGCAATTCAAACAGCGATATTTTAATGGTTTTTGGAAACAAATGGCACATTCATATAATTTAACGAGTTTTTTCTTCTATTTTATGAGACTTTTAGAATTGAATACAGAAGGAACATAATGATAAACCTAATGTCCCCTTAATCCTATACAAAACCAGTAAGGAAAGGTCCAAAGGCGTGCGGGGCCAGCTATATGATACCCTACACCACTATGCGTATTATGTAGAGGTCTTGAAAAAAACGATATATTGGAAATTTATGTAAATGATATGACTTCAATGAGAATTGTATTAAAAAATTTTTATTGGTTGAATATAAAAAAAATTACCCAATTTGGGCTGATATTACATATATGGTGGACAAGAACCGTAAAATCGATGTATATCGTAGGTAGGCATCTCGATAAAATTTGGCAGAGGTATTTTCAAGCTTCATCTATATCAAATCTGAACCGGTTTTCACCAAATTTGATGTACTTGCTTCTAGACTGAATTCCGCCGGAAGTGCCAAAATTCAAGTCAATTGGACTGATATTGGAAATTTCGGGACACAATTAACCCGAAATCGGTTAAAATTAAATATGAGAGCTATATTTAAATATATTTATTGAGCTGATATTATACAACAAACATGAAATCGAATGACAATGAAATATATGACTATTATATGCAAATCTGAACCGATCTCTAAAAAATGTATCAGAAGTTTGTCTATAGCTGTCATCGATGTTGTGGAGCTCACTTTATGGGTGCGAGGGACTTGAATAAAAAATCGGATGAAACATATCTACAGGTCCTATATCTACGTCCGAACCGATTTTCACCGAATTTGACACACTTTCTTCCTGGCTAAATTCGTTCTAAAAATAACTTTTCAATTTTTTTTCGAGATCGGTTCAGAGTTGGATATGTCTTCCATATATATTTCACTTTGATTTGATCGGGAGCTAACATACAACATAAATGTACCTCAGTCAAGTTTAGTGGAAATCGATTAAGACATAGCATGAATGTGTTAGTTTAAACCTATTTCAAATTTAAACCGCTCTATAGCCTTATTACCTAATTATGACCTAAATTGCCAATATGGACTTGTGTTTGCTACACGTGACTTTACTAATTAGTCATAGTGAAGTTGAAGTTGGCACCGCCCTACTTGTGTCTTTCCTAATTGGGTGACAGTTTTTTCAACGTTTTTTTATTAAAATTTTCAAAATCATTCCAATTGGTTGAGGTATTTAAAGTTAGCCCCGGCCGAACTTATAATAAATCACAACAGTTACACAAAATCTTTAATGCCGCTTTAAAATATGCAAAACTATCCTTTTTTCGTTTATGTCTTAGAAAACAAAACAAAAAATGCATTTTTTTTGTTGTCAAACGTAGACGTATGGAATACATAAATAGTGTGTCGTCACTTGATGACACGGCCTTACCTGCGAATCGGAAAACAGGAATACGGTATGATTCATACTGAATCCGGATGACATCAATATCTTTTTTAGATCATCTCTCCAATCTTGTTGTGTGTACGTTTTTGTCACTTGCACCGTCATCAACTTGCAATCAGCAATGTGAGCTGCCAGTCGACACGAGCTACGACGTCCCGAACCACCCATGCCAACCATCAAAATGTTGCCACGTGGCATTTGCAGAACGCGTGAAACTCTACAAGTAACATAGACAATATTGGAAGAAATGCGAAAGGAAAAAATATTAAGCAAAGAAAGATTTTTTGCTTGAGAAGAAGGCCAATCTGAAAAAAAATATCAAAACCCGACCCACTCCCAAAACACATGTGTGGATGCATTACATGCATGTTAAGTATTGCATACACTTGTATGCCTCACACTTACCTCGATATATGTTCAATCGCAAAACGGAACAGCACCAAATCCATGGGTGTGCTAGAAAACCCATTGTAGTCACGTAAATAATAATGCATGAGCTTTTCCAATTTGTTATAGTTGTCACATTCGTCGTAAATTTTCGGTTCAGCATCTGGTTCAAGATAATTACCAAAAAATAAATTGCGCAAATCGTTATCTGTCAATTTGCCTCCGGGATTTTCCATTCGCTCTTTGAACGCTGACTCCAAAGAGAAACGTAAATTGGTTTTGCAGGCATTAACTACCATTTCCAGTAGTTGATCGCGATCCCGTTGGTCAATTAGGCTGAAATGAATGACAAACATATGTGTTGTTACATAATAGAGGCAAAGGCTTTGCCAAAGAGTTATTAGCAAACATATGCCAACGGAGATTGATTGTTTCATGTGAAACGTTTTTTTAAATGAAATTTGTCATATTGGTTATTTAGGGGCTTAGGAAATATATAAATGAAACCAAATATTGTGTTTAACGTTATCTTTATGTTATAACAACTTTGCCAAGATTGAGGTCAAAATATTTAAGATAAATTAATAAATTAGCTTTTTCGCTGAATTAGGTTGACCCTTTGTGGGGTACTTGATGGATTGGACCGATTTTGTCCATTTTCGCACCTGACCAAGCACTGACCAAAATTTTGCAACTTGGAAGTTTAAGCAAAATTGAATTATCTTTTCTTATTGTATTAGGTAAATTATTTTCTATGAAATCCTAGATCTTTTGTTTGGGAGGTACCAGAAGGAGTGGACTGATGTTTCCTTTATCCGAACTCTATCTAATTTTGACAATAATATTTTGATACCCCCGTAAATATTCGGATACTCCCGTCGAGAGTTGTCGTGCGCACCAGTCAGTCAGTCATTTAAATGAGTATCTTTTTGGTCACATAAAATCATATATACCCTCTTCAGCCATATGGCTGAGGATATAAGTAAAGGCTGTAATGCAAAACGTATAAAAATAATGAATTGGGATCCTTTCGGTTGAAAATGAATAAAAATGAAACAAATTGGATATATGGTTGGGGGTGGGGGTTGTGGTGATGTGGGTTTTATCCATAATCTCGACTCTAAATGATGTTCTACTATTAAGTACTATCTATCAAAAAAGGTTTACCGATATTTTATTATACCCTTAGCCATATGGCTACACTTGCCTAGTCGAAATAACGGTTTTAGACCCTAGGTCTCTCTGGACCAAATCCGTTTCAGAACATTTGGAGTCGATCTAGAGATGTCCGTCCGTCCGTCCGTATGTCTGGTTGGTGCGATAACTCTCGAAGGGAGTATCCGATTTGGTCCAAACTAACTACGTCGTAATATTTTTGTCAAACTTAGATCCAGTTTGGAGATGGTCCCCTCTTTCTGGTACCTACCAATTAAGAGGTCGAAATTTTCAAAAAAAAAAAAAAATTTTTTGCACAGAAAGAGAAAAAATAATGCGATTTTGCTCCAATTTTGCAAATCGTAATATTTGCGTCAGTGCTAGGTCTGGTGCGGAAATGGACAATATCGGTCCACTCTATCAAGTACCTCCCCACAAATGGTCAACATTTTGAATGATTACAACTCTCGTAAAATGTGATGTAAGAGTCCGATTGTCTTCAAATTTCACACATCTCAACATTTATATTATATTAAGGTCTTCTGTTAAGATGGAATATATCGGTCCACTCTTTCTAGTACTTCCCCCATAAATGGTCGAAATTTTCAAAAATATATATTTTTTGCACAGAAAGAGAAATGATAATCCGATTTTGCTCCAACTTTTGCGTCAGTGCTAGGTCTGGTGCGGAAATGAACAATATCGGTCCACTCTATCAAGTATTTCCCCCACAATTGGTCAACATTTTGAATAATTACAACTCTTATAAAATGTGATGTAAAATTCCGATTGTCTTCAAATTTCACACATCCCAATAATTTTATTAGCCCTAGGTATGGTGATGGAGTATATCGATCTACTCCTTCTGGTACCTCCCCCACAAAAGATCAAAATTTAAAAAAAGTGTTTTCTGCACAGAAATGGAAGCAAAAATCCAATTTTGCTCTAATTTTGCCAATTCTAATATTTGCGTCAGTTTTAGTTCAGGGGCAAAAATGGATAATATTGCTTTACTCCATCAAGTACCCCTCCCACAAAGGGACAAAATTTTGAATAATTATAATTCTTAAAAAATATTATGTAAGAGTCCGATTGTATTCAAATTTCGCATATCCTACTATTTTTATGAACCCGAGATCTGGTAGTAAGACGGAATATATCGATCCACTCCTTCTGGTACATCCTCAACAAACATGGAATGAATATGGAATTTATGATTTCCTATAAATTTGATATAAATGTTCGATCTGTCGGCAAAACCGACCGATACTTTTTTATTTGTTTTTTTAACACTTCGACGTTCAATAAAGCTTTTATTAAATTAATTAGACATTCGACAATTAAAGGGTTATTTGGAGTGTTTTTGATTTTAACGTGTCTCTCTACGTCCGCTGAAAAATTGGAACAGACGAGCATATTTAAATTGTAGAAAAAACAAACTTGCAGGCCATAAAATATGCAAGTGAAATGGTGGACAACAAATACAGTTAGCCGTAGTATTTTATTATTTATTTATCAGTATGTAAAACCGTTACCAGACAGAGCAAGACATAGACTGGTGAACATATGAGGTATATTAAATAATGGAGGAGAACAAATATTTAGAGTTGTCCGTCTGTTTGGCTGGCTGATACGTACGATAACTATCGAAGGAAGATACGATTTGGTCCAAAATTTGTACATCATCATATTATTATCAAGCTTAGATCGACTTCGGAGATAGGCAATATCAGTCCACACCTTTTGGTACTGCCCCCCCAAAGGGTGAACATTTTTCGCAGACTAATTTAATTGGTTCTTTAATTTCGTGCAAGCTTTACATATTCCATTTTTTTAATAACTGCTAAGTCATGTGCGAAAGTCAATCCACTCCATCAAGTACCTGCTCCACAAAGGGTTAAATTTTTTAATAATTATAACTCTTTCCTTGCAACCACCCCCTTAAAGGGGCAGTTATTATATTTATATTGGCTGCAACATTTACAACCTTATACTTCGCGACACCACTTATGAACGAATACTGTAGTATATGTTCATACTTACAATATCTTTGAACATATGTGGGAGTAAACACCTAAAATTGGAATGGCGCAAAAATATGTGAATGCTTGTGTATACATACCGGTCATAAAAAACTCTATATGTTTCATGAGCCCACAACCGACCAAGTTTTTCTGGATCATGTAGACGTTTTGCTGGCACCAGAACAATACCCTGAAACACACGGGTGATATCACGTAGTGAAAATGTATAATGGGATTTGGCAGGAGTCGGTAAAAATATTCTCATCGCCGAACGATAAACACTGACCATTGCTTCAGCCAGACCCTGTTAATTTTTTTTTTTGGTTTTTTGTCATTTGATTTCCATTTCATACAGGTATTAGTAAGTGATGTCGTTATTCAGTAGTAGTTGGCAGCATATAAAATGAAAGAAGTCAAACATCATAAATTAAAGTACGACGTTAGTATTTAATGCCAGATTACATATAATGTTAGAGTCATATGTAGTGATTTTTTTAACATTTATCTTTAGCATTTCATAGCATACTTTTTGGTGGTCAACAAAAACTTTAAAGAAATGCTTTAAAATGCATGTTACAAAAATTTAAAAGAAAACCTGTCAGGAAAGGTCAAAAGTCGGGCGGGCCGACTATATGATACCCTACTCCACTATGCGTATTCAGTAAAGCACGCGTAACAAAAAATTAATATTGGGAATTTAAGTGAATCGGATGAAGATATATATCAAAGCCATATAAAAATCTGAACTGATTTCGATAAAATATGGCAGAGGTATTTTCGAGCAGTATCTTATGCCCGGTTGTATCATTGGAGTAAATATTACACATGTGAGGGACTTTAACGTCAAATCGGGTTAAAAGATATAAATGGGAGCTATAGCCATATCACCAATTTTGATGTACATGCTTTTAGGCTGAATTCGGTCGGAAGTGCTACAACTCTGATATTAGCCATTTGGTGTACAAAAAGAACCTGAAATGGGAAAATATGCATGTGGGAGCTATATCCAAATCTGATCTGATCTTGACAAAATTTGAAACACTTATATCTGATCTGATATCGTGTACCAAAGATTATTGTTGTGGAGTGAATATTACGCATATTACGTGAAGGACTTAAACCCCTTAATCGGATGAAACATATATATGGGAGCTATAGCTTTATCTGAACCGATTTTCACCAAATTTGAAGTTTGTAGGCTGAATTTGGTTGGAAATGCCAATATGGGCTGATATTAGCCATATACCTGAAATCGGATAAAGATATATATGGGAGCTATATCCAAATCTTAACCGATCTTGATAAAATTTTGGCAAAGATTTTTTGGAGCTCTATAAGATATGTGGTATCTCATATATCCTGGTTGTGGGGTGCATAGTACAAATGTTAAACAAATGTTATGTTTAATGAAACATAAATATGGGAGCTATAGCTATATCCCCAAATTTGAAGCACCTGCTTCTAATTTGATCGGGTGTAACGAAATACATTTCATTTGGATGAATATTACACATATGATTGTGATATAAATTGACATCGAACGAAAATATATATGGGAGCTATATCGGACCCAGTCAATAAATACGACCTGTACTTTGTTTAAAAAAATACATGGACAGACTGACGGACATGCATAAATCAATTGAGAACGTGATTCTATGAATATAATCAAAAATAACAAGTAAGCAAAGGCTATAGTCGTGCGGGGCCGACCATGTGATATCTTACAACACCATATTATATTGGAAAACCTCCTTAGGTCCAAACACATTTTAGTAGATTATTTGAAATGATGTTATACTGTCCTGTCCAGTCCAAAATCAGGAACATTTTCTGTTTTTGGTCCATTTCAACCCTAAATAGTATGCGATCATCTCCAAAAACAATAGGGTTCAATTCTTATCCTAACCCCACTTCCGTGCTTTAGCACGTGATAATCAGACCATAATTGCGACCTGTAGAGTGATAACAAATTAACATGGACAGACGGACGGACGGACTTACATAGCTAGATCGACTCAGCTCGGGGAGATAGGAAGATCCATATACACTTTTATATGTGGGAAACCAATATTTCGAGGCCCAATAAAACTTATAATACAACATTCTGCATGTTACAAAATACATAATACCCTGTACCCCAGCGTGGTGTCGGTCATATAAATGGGAATCGCTTTGCTTCGCTGTATTTTTCTCTTACTGTGCATCAAATACGAAATAATAGTTAGATATCTATTTTGTCAGATATTTAGGTTCTGATATAGCTATAGCTTCAATATTCATCCGATTTGATATTTCCCTTAGTCTTAATGTGCGCTCTATAGCAATATTCTGCACATGATAACAGCTATAACCTTGAAATACATTTGCCCTTTTTGAAGAAATTGCTTCAGATTTAGATAAAGTTAATGATGCACCAACCATGCTACATTTTTCAAATTCCGACTAGAATAAATTCTGCCATGTGTGGACCAAATTTATTCGGATATAGCCATAGCTCACACATATATTTTATCCGATTTAAAATGTAAGCCTTCTCAATGTACTAGCAGTGATATTTGTCGCTTAAGGTCACAACAACTAACTTTGTCAAATTTAATGGAAATCGAAAATGCTACTTAGTTTAATTTTTACTCAATTTAAACTAAACCACAAATGTACTCTCCTTGTCAAATATTCTCCCTTTTTTGCGTAAGACTTTTCAAAATTCATTATAAGATGGTTAACAAAATATTTGGTATAAAAAAAATATTTCTGAACTCAAGTATTATTTGAAAGAAGAAATCCCAGTCAATAAAATGATATAATTGCTTTTAATTGCCCTGCACTAGATTCGAGTACGCCAAGTCAAACTACCTACATATGTATATTTGGCCCAACTTTGCATGAAGATGATGGCTTTTATGCTATTTGCCTTGTGTACAAACGTACTTACCTATACGTACGCAAAAAAATGTTAGCAAGCATATACAGAATATATATGTAATATGTGTACATACCCTTGAGAGCAATGCCACCTTATCAGGATAGCCTTTGGAAAAATGCCAATCGCCAATTGCTGTAAATATTTTGATTATGGTAGCATCCTCGAATGAATCCACTCCAACAACGAATGTATGCCGGTAGAAACGGGGAAATATGAAATTACTGCCGCCTGGCATACCCATAGCTCCGATAAAACACTAGAAATAGAAAAAGAGTCAAGGGTGTTAAATAGAGACATTCGTATGGTAATAAAAGCACAGGATAACATTACAAGGCAATAAAAAAGACACTTTAACTTTTTGTTTTAGCCGGGTTATTGTAAAGTATTTGAGAGTTCAAATGAAATTGTAATTTGTTGAGATATATGATAGGAGCCAAAAATAAGCTTTATCGCTGAACACAAGAAGCGCCCGATGAAGTTTCTTAGATTGAATGATTTGCAAGCGTTGTTCGTTTGTAAGACGATTCATGTTTAAATTATGTACCGAAGACAAGCTGAACCCAGTGCGCTTCGCTAACCCTTTTGATTTTATATGCATTCAAAATTTTATATACGAATATTGGTTTAAAAAATTAAAAAAAAAAAAACAAATTCAAATATTTAAAAAAAAACGTAATTATTGCAATGCTTTAATTACGTTTGTTTACAAACTGCAGGACAACGAATGTTTTCCCATTGAAGAAAACCAAATTCGGCAGTTCACCACTTTCGGCCAAACGAAGCATGTCTTTAGCTCTTTTGAGTCTATTTTCTTTCTGATGCGGTGTAAGTTCGTGCACTTTTTGGAATTTCAATGGCTTTACCCCGAGCTCATTTTTCAATATTTGCCGAATGGAGTATTACGATATGTTCAGCTCATGACCCATTTCAGCAACTGCGACGCGGGTTTTCAACAAGTTGCTTCTTTACTTTTCGAACCATTTCTGCTGATTGTGCTGTTTTCTTCCGTCCACTTCCTCGACGTCGGGCTACACTACAAGTATCACGATAACGAGCGATGGTACGAGACACAAAAGATTTATTCATATTTAAATGCTGGAGTGCTCTAACGATAGCAACTTGTGATTTTCCAGCCAAATATAAAGAAATCGCAGTATCACGCTTGAACTCCATCACAAATAATTTTTTTTCTGGAAAATTCTCACTACAATTATTTTGTACGCTGTACAGTTGTCGGACGAGTAGCTTAGAAATGAGAGCAGTCTGAAATTGGTTGCAGTTAGTTCATCTCACCCTGTATACGGGAGCTATACTCAACCGATTTCAATTTAATTTTGCAGATTTTTTTTCTCATCAAATCCTGTCACTTATTTCAAATTTCATTAAATTAGAACGTGCGTATCGTGTTTGGTGCATCAAATAAACAAAATCGGTCGAAAATATATATGGGAGCTATATACAAGTCTGAACCGATTTCAATATAATTTGGCAAATGCATGTTCGCTTTAAATTCCGTTACATATTCCAAATTTAATAGACATTAGAGATACATAGCGTGTTTGGAACATCAAATACACGAGGTCGGCCGAAAATGTGTATGGGAGCTATATCCAAATTTAAATCTATTTTAATAAAATTTGGCAGACAAATCCCATCACAGATTCCGAATTCCGTTGAAATGTGGCGTACACAGCTTGTTTAATGCATCAAATACATGAAATCGGCCGGAAATATATATGGCAGTTATACCCAAACCTCAACCGATTTCAATATAATTTGGCAACTTTTTTTTGGTACCAAATTTCGTTTCTCTGTCCGAATTTCATTGGAATCGGAAATACTTATCGTGTTTGGTGCATCAAATATGTGAAATCGGCCGTAAATTATATCAAAGTTATATCCAAATCTTAACCGATTTAAATATAATTTGACAAAATTAGGTTTGCTCAAACAATAGATATGTGCATACAAAAACTAAATTTTTCGATTGAATCTGATCCTGATGTTATACCTCCCGTTCTAAGTGGAGTTTCAAAAATGTATATAGCCTATGTTACTTTCAGGTTATGTTATAGTATATTTTGAAAATTTTAGGAAAATCGTTTCAGCGGTTTTTGAGACTATAAATTGCAATCAAACCAAAACAATCAAACTTAAAAATATTTTCCTCTTTTGTAGAAATAGAAGAAGAAGACGATGACAATGTGCTCAACAATTGCTCTGTGAAAACATTAAATAAAAACAAGAATAAAGAAACAGTTTTCAAACGAAATGTTCTTAATTTACTATATTCAGAGAAAATAAATTCTGACATAGGTAATAATTCCTGGATAAAATGGTGAGATTAAAATAACATTTCATTTGGGATTTTCAATATGATGATTTTGGAATTTGTCATCATATTGAGTTTAATAAAGTCAATGCGTGAAGATTGATTTCTTTATGAACATAATGTTTCATTTCCATACATCTTTAAAACAGCAGGTATAACGTTGTTATTGAAATAAGAATGTTGTGGCCGAAATTTGTGGAAAAACTAATTGCCACACTGTTAGCACTGCTAGCTTTCTGTAACAATTCTGTGCTACAAATTCATAATATTTTTTGATATCTGCAATAGATACGGTAGCCTCGTTTATCTACCAGCATTTGTTTTGTTTTCATTTTTTGAATGACCAAAAGCTCCATATATTTTGAATGGAAACATGAACAGCTTTGCGAAGAAAATATTTTTTTATTTTATATTTTTCGAAGACTATATATTCGAACCGGTGGTATAGTTTCTGGTTCTATGAAATTGTAAAATCAGAATATAGATTTAATTTTGATTTTGGAATTCATAATAATATCCAGTTTTCACAAAATCAAATTGTGCGATTCTAACTTGTTGTAGGAATATAATATTTCATTCCCATGAAGTTGTGAAACATGTATAATGCTGTTATTCAAATAGAAACGCAAATACATTTAGTCAGAATTTTTCTTATTGACCGCGAGTCGTTGAAATGTATGGAACACTAATTGTGACGTTTGATAAAGCATAGATACACATTCGATGGATTTTCTTTATGAATTACCAGCGTAACTGGTTGCAATACTCGTATGCAGCAATTCGTGATTATGGCTTTTGATTTCATACTAAATTCAATTGTCCATATCAATATCTTTCAAAAATATGTAACCTTTTTATACCTTCCACCATAGTGGAATATACCCTACACATATTGAGTTTGTCATTTCGTTTGTAACACCTCGAAATATACATTTTAGACCCCACAAAGTATATATTCTTGATCAGATTAAAATTCAATGTCGATTTAGCGATGTCCGTCCGTCTGTCCCTCTATCCATCTGTGGAAATCACTGTATCTTCCGAATGAAATTAAGAAGGTTGATAACAGTTTACTCAAATGTATATTATATCTGCTTTTGGCATAGAAAATGGGCCATGTAGGTCCACGTTTTGGTATAGCCCCCATATAATGGTACAACGGAATTGTTTCAAATTTGGTATTTGAAGTTCGAAATGGATACTATACTCTAAGACAGAAAATTGTCTGTACAGGTGCACGTCTTCGTATAGCCCCCATATAACGGTACCTCCCGATATTCGGTACTTTAATGATTTTAGCGACATTATTTACCGGAATAGTTTCAAATTTAATATTGAAGTTCGAAATGTATACTACAGCCTATGACAGAAAATTGTCTGTGCAGGTCCACGTCTTCGTATTGCCCCCATATATGGTACCTCCTGATATTCGTTATTTTGCTGATTTAAGCTACATTATTCACCGATTTTTTTTCAAGTTTCTTATTTGAATATTCTAATGGCTTATGACAAAAGTTGTCTATGCAGGTCCACATTTTCGTATAGGCCTAATATAACGACTACATTCGGTATTTTTAAGATTTTAAAAGAATTTTTAAGGATTTTTTTTTTTTGAAATTTGCCAAATTTTTTCCAAATGGTGGAAGTTTTTAAAAGATTGGCACGGAAAGTTTGGGATGAAACAAACAGTTTTCTTTGCGGTCACTATACATGTCAAAAAAAAAATTATTTTTTTTTCGAAGGGTCAAAATTGCCAATAATTATATCACTATATCACTATGTAATCTGTGTCTGATTTTCTTCAAATTTAGCTCATCCCAGTATTTTGACCTACATTGAGCGAAGGGAGTAACCGATGTAGTTCAAATTTGACACTTCGTAATATTAATATAAAACGCAAGTCCCGTGTAAAACTGTCACCCCCAAACCCCTGATGTTTTTACCTCCTACAAAAATGGTACATTTCTGTGTAATAAATTACTAAAGATGGGGTCCACAGATCTTGTAGCTTTGTATTTTTCTTTATTTGTAAAAATATGACTCAATCGTATATATTTCGCTGTGATCTAAATGCATAACGCTAGTTCTTTTCCTACTTTATATATTTTCCTACAATCAAATAAAAATGTTGTACCGTTTACTTCAGTTATTGCACTAAATACACATTTCCAAAACCACATACTTTATCGAACCTTTTTTCCACGAATTGATTTTCATTCCAAATTACACGCATCCTTTAGTTTGTCTATCCTACACAACATCAAAGACTCTCATTCACACCTTTTCCAAACACTGTTCGTACTTTTTAGTACATATTCAAGTATCAACCAAAACCCCACAAAAGTTTATATTAATGGCAAATCAATTCCTTCCCAGGAACCCTATTTAGTCCCATTTAGTACTTTTTAGTACGTGTTTCCAAACCCACCTTCAAATCTCAACCCAACACACAAAAAGTGATCCTAATGCCAAATTTCAGATTTCAAGAAGTATCTGTTCACGCAACACTAACTTTTGTACCATTCAGTAGCTTTGGCGCACATAAGTACAAATTTCTAAAACTGCCTACATATCCCCATCCTACACTCCCACAGTAATCGCAATTCTAAAGTTCAGCATTCCATCCTTATCGGTTCGCCTAAATATAATTTGAACCAATATTAGTACCATATAGTAGAAAAAAGGAGAAAACTCCAAAACTTCCTCTTCATTACTCAATCCTACAATCCAACAGTAATCGTATTCCCTAACTTCAGGTGCTACTAAATTTAATCTGGTACCATTTGGATTTAGGTGAACTGATAGAGCAGGGACACCTAAATCCAACTGGTACCAGTTTTAATCTTATTCCTAAATTTCAGAATTCCAGCTCTATCTGTTCACTCAAATCGAAATTGTACCAAATTTCGAACAATTTAATACTT